CACAGCCTGGGAACCGAACCGTGACCTGGCTCATAGGTTGATGCCCAACCACTGAGCTGCACCAGCCAGGCCCAATAAACTCTCGTTAGAATTCTCCTCAGGTCTGGATGTGTCTCACGTCACCGCCTGGCTTTCAGCAGGGAGGGCACCCGGGAAGGCCTCTGTGGGTCCCCGGGTCCCCCCCGGAGTGTGGCTCTGGGACTGAGGACACACTGCTGCCAAGGAGACCCTGGAAGTGAAGTCTGGCCCCCGGTGAGGGCCTGGCTCCCGAGTCCCTGCCTCCCAGTGGCCAGGAGCCGCAGCCGGGGGGGGGGGGGGGGAAGAAGAGGGGGAGCCTCTCGGCCACAGGCGGGCAGGACTCCGGCCCTGTCCCTGCAGAACCCTCGTCCCGCCTCCCACCCCCTGCCTCGCCTCACCAAGGGGACATCGCTCCCTAGATTGGCGAGCCCGGGCCCCCAGGCTGGGTTTGCCGTGTGGTGCCACGGGCAGTGCCAGGGGAAGGATGTCCTGCCCGGCCACAGTCCTGGGGGACGGCAGGCGGCTCGGAGCTCTCGGACAGTGAGCGAATTGGGGGGGGGGGTGGAGGCTGGTCAGCCCAGAGGGCCCCCCCACCCTCCACCCCGGTCAGAGGCAGGTTATGGCCTCCGAGTGGAGGGACAGCCGGGCCCCGGGCGTGTGGCCCTGCCTGCCCAGCGGCGAGAGGCAGGACAGAGGGCGCGGCACCTCTGAGCCCCTTGGCGCAGGGAGGCGGCCCCTCGCCAGCAGCCCACACCGGGCGGTGGGCAGGCAGAGCCCGGCTGGCCGGGGAGCCCTGGGCAGCTGACTGGTCTGGAGGCCAACTGGACCAGGGGTGAGTGCCGAGGGCAGCCGCCTGGGCAGAGCTGCTGACGGCTGGCATCTCACACACAGCTGACCCTTTCACCTCAGCAGCCCCGAGAGCTGGCCGCTGTCCCTTGGCACAGATGGGGAAACTGAGGCCCAGAGGGGAAGGCTGGGCTGAGATCCCGGGGGCGGGGGTGGAGGGGGCCGGCTGGGCAGGGCCCTGGGTCTGGTGCTGGGCGCCCAGGCCCTCACCCTGTCTTTCCGCCCTTCCTGCTGGCCAGGCACCACGGGGCCTCTAACCTGCTGGCCCCTGTTCCCTCCTGTGCCCTGCGGCAGTGGGTGGGGCGGGGCCATCTCCGAGGACCCGTCAGGCTGGGTGCTCGTCCCTGTAGAGCAGGGTGCCGGGGGCCGTGATGGCCAGGCTCCAGGGCCTCGCCGGCCCCTGCCAGCCTGGGAGCCAGCCGTGCAGCCGCCCTCCCAGGGGGTCTCCCTCGGCCCCTGAACTGGCAGCGTGCTCCCTGCTGTGTGCCCGCCAGCCCCTCCCTGCCTCCCTGGGGAGCGTGCGGCCCCAGCCCCGGGCGGCCTCCCCTCATTTATCTTTAAACGCAACGCGAGCCTTGAGCTGGTGGAAGAGGCACCGGCGCTTTACTTACAGGTGGCGGGGGGGTAGGGGGGGGGCGCCAGGCTAGGAGCACCAGGGCCCGGGCTCAGCACCCCCCCTCCGGCCTCTACCCCAGGCCGGCCCCCCCAGCCGCCTCCCTGCCCCTTCAGCCTCCAGGCCTGGCTTCCCCAGCCTTCACCCCGGAGGTGAGCCTCCCAGAGGCCCAGAGGCCACAGGGGCTCCCCGGGGCTCCACCTCTGCCCCCCACCAGCCGTTTGATCGCTGCTTCCCGCCCACACCCCCTGGTCTCTGGGCCCTGAGCCCCCTCCCTCCTGGCCTCCGTCCTGGCCTCGCTTTCTCTGGGGAGGCCTGAGGGAGCAGAGCCACGCCCCGTGCACAAGAGAGGCCGGTGTGGCCCTGGAGAGGGGGCGGGGAGGGGGCGGGACTCCTGTCGTCCCAGCGAGGAGGAGGCGGCGGCGGGCTCAGGTGCGGCCCTGAGCCCGGTAACCGGGTAACCCGAGAGGAAGGAAGTTGGGGACTTCAAAGGCTGGCACCGGCCCTGCCGATGCCACGTGGGAGGCGGGAGGTCACCCATCGCTTCTAGGAATGGGAGCCTCTGCCCCTCCCTCCACACCCCACCAGCCCCACGGCCCTGCCCGGCCGCAGGAGGTGGCGAGGTGGACAGGCGGTGGCCTGCTCAGCCTCCGGCCAATCCCCGCGCAGAGCCGAGTGCCCTGTGCCCGGGTGCCTCCCCACCCCCCCGGGACTCGGGCTCCCCAGGGCCGGGCGTGGTGCTGCCCAGCCTCATTGTGTCACCGGATGCCCTGCCTGGCACCCTCCCAGCGAATGCCCAGAGGCTCTCAGCTGATGGCTGGGGGAGGGGGGGGCGCTGACTCAGCCCCCCAGCCCACCCGCACGCACGCACGCAGCTTCCTGAGCGGGTCGGCCGGTCAGACGGACGGACGGTGCCCAGGCCCAGGGCGGCCGGAGGAAGGCGGGCAGAGCCCACGCCAGGCCCTGCTCAGCTGAGCGTCACAGGGTCAGAGGCGCCTCCTCTCGGCGTCTCCACCGGCCCCCAGGCCCCAGCTTTAGAAACGGGAGCACACCCGCCCCCACACGGAGCCTGATGGTCAGACCCTTAATATCTTATCGCCTCAGGCCGAGACCCCGGCCCGGCCGCCCCGGCCCGCCGCGCCTCCCCCGCCCGGCCTCTCCCCTCCTGGTCGGAGGAAAGTGGACGTTCTCTTTCCACACGCCCCCGGGGAGGATGGAGCTGGGGAGGAGTTGGCATTGGGCAACAGCCTCTCCCCGTCCGAGGATGCAACCGCCGGTCAGAACCGCCCGGGCGCGCCAGGACGGCTGGTGCCCGGGGCCGGGATGTCTCCAGGGCAGTGGGCGTGGGGCGCTGCCATGGGGTCAGCGTCCTCAGACCCTTCCTGCCAGGCGATGGTCAGCGCCGGAGCCCCGGCTTCCCCTCTGTACAGCGGGAGCACAGTGGCTCTGGAGGAGCACTTATTGAGCACCTGCTGTGTGCCAGGCCTCGACGGTTCTCCGTGCTGGTCACCAGCGACAGGACAGACCGGTCCCCACGGGGTGGCCCTCCCACGGAGGGGGGCAGCAAGCACCCCCCCCACACACACGTGCACCTGGGAGCCGGAAGTGCTGAGGCGACTGTGAGGTGGGGAGGGAGGGATGGGAGGGGGTGGCTGGTGGTGCTGTCCTTTGGGGTTGATGAGGCCTGGCCCCCCCATCCCGGGCAGACCTGAGGTGCCGCGCCCCCTTCTGCGGGAAGCCTGCCTGCCCGGCCCTCACTCTGGCCTGTGGGGCTCCCCCGGAACCACTGGCTGCAGGGCACTGCCCCCCCCCCCCCCCCGCCGTGACCCAGGGGCGGCAGTCCTCCGGGGTTCCCCAGGCTCCCCCAGGGGCGGCAGTGGAAAGAGGGACAAGCAGTCTCTTTATTTTTTTTGCTTTTTATTTTATTTATTTATTTTTAAAATATATTTTTATTGATTTTATACAGAGAGAAAGAGAGAGAGATAGAGAGTTAGAAACATCGATGAGAGAGAATCATCGATCAGCTGCCTCTTGCACATCCCCTACTGGGGACGTGCCCGCAACAAGGTACATGCCCTTGACCGGAATCGAACCCGGGACCTTTCAGTCCGCAGACCGACGCTCTACCACTGAGCCAAACCGGTGCCGGCATGCTTTTTATTTTTTTAAAAAGAATTCTCCATTGTTGGAAGCATTACGTATGTCCCCTCGCCCTCCCCCACCCCCAGCCCGCCCGGCCCTCCCCACCCCGGTCTGAGGCCACAGGCCGCCACATACGGCTCCTTATCGCTGATCATCTCTCGCTGACCCCTCCCCATGGCCCAGCCCCCACGTCTTGGATCCACTCCTTAGAGTCCACATGTGAGTGTGACCATGTGATCCTTGCCTTCCTCCGACTGATCTCAACAAGCGGTTCTCTGAGCCGGTACCGAGCGCGGCCAGAAGGCGCGGAGCCGCCCGGCACAGCACCCGCAGGTGCCCGGCAGGCCTGCCCCCGCCCGGAACAGCTGCCACCTGTGAGCCCGGCCAGCCCGCAGGAGCCCCACCTGCCCGGCCAGAGTCCCCACTCGCTGGAGGTGGGGGAGGCAGTGACTCATGCCAGCCACAGGTCACCGGAAGAAGGAAGGGGCGGGACAGTGCCAATGCCCCAGAGGTGGGCACGGTGAACCCCGCCCCCCCAAACGCTGGGCCCACCCCGCGGTGGCCGGTGGCCGGACGGGGAAGGGGCGACTTGGTCTCAGAACTCCAATCTGCTCTGCGAGCCCGCGGCCCAGGCCTGCCCTCCGCCCGCCCGCTAACTGCCCCGTCCTCCTGGGCCCGGGCTGTGTGGACACACAGTCGCCTGATATTTGCCCCTGGCCCGGCCCCAGGAGCGGCGGGTGACGCTGCTCCTGGCACCCAGCGCTGGGACCCGGCCCCGCCCAGACACACGCCGTTCCAGCTGCTCCCCCTCCTGAAGGGGTGCCCCCAGGACCCTCAGGGGAGGTCCCCAAAGGCCGGCTGGTCCCTGAAGTTGCTCCAGGGCGCGGCCCACGGGCCATTGGTGTCGCCGCCGGTGGCCAGGGGGCCGCCTCCTGGGGCGCCGGGGAGCTGTGGTCCGGGCGCGGGCGCCGGTGGCAGAGGGCGCCGGGCGGAGAGAGGCCGGACCTCGGGGGTGGCGCCCGATCCAGCCACCCGGCGGCCAGGACGCCCGGGCCCGGCCGGGAGGGGCCGCACGCCCGTAGCGAGGTGACCCGGCGGCGGAGGGGGCGTGGCGCGGGGCTAGGGGGGCGGAGGGGGCCGGGGGCGGGGATCCGGGCGGGACGGGCCCGGCGGCGGCGGGGATCGGGGCGGCGGAGGGGGCCGGGGGCGGGGAGCGGGGCGGGACGGGCCCGGCGGCGGGGAGCGGAGGCCGCCGCGCACCTAGGCGCCCTGCTCCCCGCCCCGCGCGCCCCGCCCCTCGGCCTCGCAATAAGGGGCGCGGGCGGGGCGGGACGGCGGCGCCGGCGCCAGGAGTCGGCTTCGCGCCCGCGGCCGCTGCCCAGCGGGAGCGGAGGGAGCGGAGGGAGCCCGCGGGCCGTCGGGCCGGGCGCCATGGAGCCGTGGCCGTGGCTGACGGCGGCGCTGCTGCTGCTGCTGCTGCTGCTGCAGCTGAGCCGCGCGGCGCGCTTCTACGCCAAGATCAGCCTGTACTGCGCGCTCTGCTTCTCCGTCTCCATCCTGGCCGCCGCCGTCTGCCTGCTGCGCCACGGCGGCCGCACCGTGGACAACATGAGGCAAGGCCGGCGGGGGCCGGGCCGGCGGGGCCGGGGGCGGGCGGAGGGGCCGGGCCGGGCGGCGGGAGCGCGGCGGGCGCCGAGGGGAGGGAGGGAGGGAGCGCCGGCCGCGGCTTCCGCTTCCCCAACTTTCTTCCCCGCTCCCCCTCCTTCCTGCCCCGCCCGCGTCTCCGCTCCCGGGCTCGGGGCGCGGGGGCCCGGCGGGCGGCCCCGGAGGCGGCGGGGGCGGGGTCCCCGGGACCCGGCGTCACAATGTCCCCGCGTCCTTGCCGAGGCCCGGCCGGCGCTCGCGGCTCCAACAGGTCCCGGCGCCGCCGCCGGCCCGGTCCCTGCGCCCGGCCGAGGGGCGCGGGGCGGAGGTGGCGCAGCTGCTTGGCGGGAGGAAAGGGCCGGGCCACGCGGGGAAACCGAGGCCGGGACGGCGCCACACCGCCCTCTGCTGGGCCGCGCGCGCCCGGGCACCTGCCGTCCCGCCTCTGCACCCTCCGCCCGCCCACCTGGCACCTGGTCCCTGGCACCTGGTCCCGGCTCCCCCGGCAGGTCCTTCCTCCCGCGTCCTTCCTCCGTCCTGGAAGGGGAGGCCTGGGACGGGGAGGGGAGGGGGCAGGGCTGGCCCTTGGGGTCCGGCCTCAGCGCGGGGAAGGAAGGGGTGGCGGCTGGAATTTTCCTCCGGGAGCCGCCGGGCCGGGAGCGGTGCTGGGTGAGGGCAGGGCTGGGCGAGGGCAGGGCTGGGCGAGGGCAGGGCGAGGAGGGCCCTGGCGGGCTGACCCCGGAGTCAAGGCCTTTCTGGGCAAAGGCTGGGGCGGGGTGCACAGGGCGGCTGCCCTTTCACCCCGTTTCTTTTACTTTTCAATTAGCAATAAACGCGCCTGCCTCCGATAAACCTCATTGGCTGCCGTTACGATACTGCCCTTTCTGCTCACCCCTTTCTGGACGGCACTGCGGTGGCTGACATGTGGGTTTTGCAATAGCCTCTTGGCTGTGACCTTGTGTGGAGACACTGGCCGTGCCCCCCACCACCCAGTGGCCTGGCCTCTGCCGTCTCTGTCCCCTCCCGGACCCGCTGCAAGGGTCCCCGGCCCCATGGTCAGGGAATAGTGACTGATACGGGGCTCCAAGTGGGGGGCCTCCAAGTAGGGGTGCTCAGTGAGACTAGGCCCCCCGCCCGCGGCCCAGGCAGTGTCCTAGGGAGCGGCCCAGGGAGCCAGGCCGTCTTCCCAGGGAGAGTCCTCCGGGCGGGCGGGCGGGCGGGCAGGGGCTGTTCTCGGAAACAGCAGGCCCGTGCTGGCCGGTGCTGCCCGGGCTCCGCAGGGAGAGGCCCCAGCTGTCTCCACCCGGACGGCGGGCCTGGGCCTGGAGGTCAGGGGGCGCTGGGTCCAGGGCTGGCCTGTCTGGTTCAGAGGCAGGAGGGGCCCTGGGGTGCAGGGCAGCTGTGCTCAGAGCTGGTTTCCAGCAAGAGTGAGGGCAGGCCCTGGAGGTGACCCCCCTCCCTCCTCCCCTGCCGTGCCATCCGGTGGCCTCTGTTGCCTCCCTTGTCTGTTAAAAGGCCCCGCTGGGCCGAAACCGGTTTGGCTCAGTGGTGGAGCGTCGGTCTGAAAGGTCCCAGGGTCGATTCCGGTCAAGGGCATGTACCTTGGTTGCAGGCACATCCCCGGTAGGGGGTATGCAAGAGGCAGCTGGTTGATATTTCTCTCTCATCGACGTTTCTAGCTCTCTCTCTCCTTTCCTTTCTGTAAAAAAATCAATACAATATATTAAAAAAAAAAAAAAAAGCCCCGCTGGCTCTGTCAAGAGGAACCTGTACGTCAGAGCTGCTTTCCTGGGTCAAGAGGTCAAGTCCAAAGTTTCTGAGCGGTGGTTGGGCCTGGCCGGCCTTGGCCGCGGCTGCCTGGGGGGCTCTCCTCAGCCCCGGGCCACACGTGTGGCTCTGTGCAGCCGGGTGTCCCTGGGGGCCCTGGGGCCCTGATGGTGCTTGGCGGGAGCCCTCTGCCCCTCCCTCCCCAGGGAGAAGGTGGGCCTGGGCCGGGCCCCCACAGCCTGTGCCCCAGACTCCACAGGCACGTCGCAGGGATGACCCAGCCGCGGCAGGGCGGGGGTTGAGCACCGGGTTTGCAGTGAGACAGGTGAGAGGTGCTGGGTGGCTCTCGGGGCCTGGCCCGGGGGAGGAGGAGGTAGAGGTGTGTGTGGGGGGCTGAGCCTCGGTTCTGAGTCCCCGGGTGCCGGTCTCCAGCCCCAGCCCTCGCTGTGCTCGCTGTCCTCCAAGAGCCGTGTCCTGAGCCCCACTGTGTGCTCTGCGGGTGCTGGGAGCAGTGACGGGCTGAGACCAAGGGCGCCCGGCTGGGGGTGCTGTCCTGGGAGTCAAGTGTCCGCGCCCCCGTGTGACAGAGGAAGGTGAGGCCAGGGAAGCCTGTGGTGGGTCGGAAACCCCGAGAGCAGCTGAACCCGGGTCCACGTTCTCAGACACCACCGGAGCCCCAGCGGGCGGCCCCAGGCCGGGCAGCTCCAGCCCTCTGCCCGCTGTTCTCGCCCTGAGGCCCGGCCACATGCTCTGCGGCCATGCCAGGGCCACAGCTGGGCTCGGCACTGAGCGCAGTGGCGGGCTGCGGGGCTCGGCCAGTGCAGGCTGTGCCCACGCAAAGCACCGAGGAGGGGGGTGTGTGCTGCCCTGGCTCTGACCTCCGCATGGCCTGCTCTGAGCCAGCGCGGCCGGAGCCTGGTGGCCCTGGGCGAAGGGGAGGGAGGGTGCGGGGCGTGGAGGGCGGCCACCCTTGCCCTGCTGGGACCAGCTCTCCCTTGGGCCTGCGGGCCAGAGCTCCCAGTGGCCCCCAAGATGCTCCTCAATGCAGGCCAGAGGGCTCCCTGGACTCCGCTCTGCACACCCCTCTCAGCACCTGGGCCTCTGCACCCCACACAGCCCGGTTCTCGTCCCCTCCTGGTGCCCCAGCTCACATGACACCTGTTGGAAAACACCCCAACTCTGGCAGGTAGCTTCGCTGGGGCCTCCTGTCTGCGGAGCGGAACGGGGGCTCCTGGCGGGGCTGCCCCCCCATCCCTAGCTCTGGGGGCTGGCCCAGGGCAGGCACATGTTGGCCAAAGCCACTAAGGCCGAGGACAAAGGTCACAGGTCGTCTGGCTTGGCCTGAGTGGAGGGGGGGGGGGCAGCAGAGGAGGGGAGGGGGTGCCTGCGGCTGTGAGGGCGGATCTGCTGTCATTCCTTTGTGCTCCTGTCTGCCCGGGGCATTGTCCTCACAGCCCAGGACCCCATGTCCCGGGACCCCAGCCTCAGCGAGCTCAGTCCCTCTGGCTACGCACTGAGGGAGGCCCAGGGCACTGCCCAGCTTCCCAGCCGGTGAGAAGGGCTGTCTGACCTCGCGCGGAGGGCCAGCTGTCCTGCCGGGCGCACCTGTGCCAGGAGGCCCTCTGGGTCCCGCAGGCCCAGCTGGCGAGAAGGGTCAGGCGCCGGCCGCGGGCAGCAGCGGCTCCTGAACAAAACCAGGAAGGGCCTCGAGGAGCCGGGCCCCAGGCCGTGGGGAAGGGCCTGCTATGGGGGCGCCCGTCACCCCTGGGAATTCTGGAAGGAACGCTGTGCTGGGGGTCTGCGTGCGGAGGCGGGGGCCCGGGGGCCCGGGGGTCCGTGTGCGAGAGGCGGGGGCTCCGGGGGTCCGTGTGCGGGAGGCGGGGGCCCGGGGTCCGTGTGCGGGAGGTGGGGGTCCGGGGGTCCGTGTGCGGGAGGCGGGGGCCCGGGGGGTCCGTGTGCGGAGGCGGGGGCCCGGGGGTCCGGGGGTCCCTGTGCGGAGGCGGGGCCCGGGGGTCCGGGGGTCCATGTGCGGAGGCGGGGGCCCGGGGGTCCGTGTGCGGAGGCGGGGGCCCGGGGGTCCGTGTGGGGAGGCGGGGGCCCGGGGGTCCGGGGGTCCGTGTGCGGAGGCGGGGGTCCGGGGGTCCGGGGGTCCGTGTGCGGAGGCGGGGGCCCGGGGGGTCCGTGTGCGGAGGCGGGGGCCGGGGGTCCGGGGGTCCGTGTGCGGAGGCGGGGGCCCGGGGGTCCGGGGGTCCGTGTGCGGAGGCGGGGGCCGGGGGGGCCGTGTGCGGAGGCGGGGGCCCGGGGGTCCGTGTGCGGAGGCGGGGGCCCGGGGGTCCGTGTGCGGAGGCGGGGGTCCCGGGGTCTGCGTGCGGGGAGCAGGGGGCAGAGCGGCTGAGGATCCGGGTGCGGAGGCGGGGCGGCAGGGTAGCCCTTGGTGATCCAGGGGGTCGCAGGCGGAGCCCCATGTGGTGCAGGGGCTGCGAGATGGACCCTTGTGACGGTCACGCCCCCCTCCCCTCCCGGGACAGGGGTCCAGATCCCTCATCTTCCGGCCCTCCCGCCCGCGCTGGACAGCCCTCCTGGGAGCAAAGGGGGCCTGAGGGCGTCCACGTGCTGCCAGCTGCCCCGGGCATCTGCTGCGCCCAGCTCTGCCAGCATCTCCCCAGTCCGCGTCCCAGCCCCACGCTGCCTGCCGCCTGTTCTCCGTGCCCGGCGAGGGGGTGCCCGGCGAGGGGGTGCCCGGCGAGGGGGAGGCGTTCCTGTTTGACGGGAGACGGGCTTTCCCCGTGTGTTGGGCATCGACGTGTTTGTTTTGGTAAAATATGTTTTCATTGATTTTAGAGAAAGGAGAGGGAGAGAGAGACATCAATGAGGAGAGGGAATCACTGATCAACTGCCTCCTGCATGCCCCCCCGTGACCCCCCACTGGGGCTTGAACCCTCAACCCAGGCCTGTGCCCTCGCCGGGCATGGAGCCGTGCCTCCTGGTTCCTAGGGTGCGGGCTGGGCAGGGTGGGCGGGTGCTTCCTGGGGCTGGACACCCTGGAGAGGATGGTGGTGAGGGGGCCGCTCCTGGGCCCAGCGGGCAGCCCTCCTTCCGGCAGGACCCGGGCCGCGGGCGCGGGCACGGGGGTTCCGGGAGGAGCGGGACGGGGTGGGAGGGACCCGCCGCGCAGGGAGCTCGCCCTGGGCTGTCACCAGAGGGCCGGCCCCTCCAGGCGCCTGTCCCTCCGGGTGTGAGCACCTCCCGGGCCTCCGAGGGGTTCAGCAGTAGCTTTAGCTGCTCACGTGCTCCTCCACTCGGTGCCAGCCCTCACTTCCTGGTGTGGCACTCTGGGGGGCCCCTGGACGGTGTGGGTGTGCGGCCCGGCCTCCAGGGGCGCAGGGACCTCTCGGGGTTGGCTGCCAGGGCTGAGAACTGCCCCCAGCCTGTCTGTGGGGCTCCGGCGGGCAGGGGGTGCGAGCTGAGGGCTGGGCGGCTCCTGGGACATGGGGGGGGGAAGCAGGACACCTCTCCGTGGGGCGTCTGTCCCCGGAGGCCACTCCCTCCTGTCTGGCCGCGATGGCGGGAGGCAGGCAGCCTTCGTGGCCCCTGGGGCGAAAGGTCGCTCTGGCCCCGGAGCCAGGCGCCGGCCGTGAGAGCGAGGGGGGTCCCCGTGGCCCCCGCTCACCGGCACCTCCCCCCCCAGCATCATCAGCTGGTTCGTGCGGACCTTCAAGTACCTGTTCGGCCTCCGCTTCTCCGTGAAGGGGCGTGAGGAGCTGTGGAAGGACCGGCCCTGCGTCATCGTGTCCAACCACCAGAGCATCCTGGACATGATGGGTAGGCGCCGGGCAGGCCTGGTCCCCCGGGGGGCCGCGGCGGGCCCAGAGGAGCTGGCAGGGGAGGGGGCGACAGGCCAGGGGGCTGCCTCCCTCCAGCCACAGCCTCCAACTGGGGAACAGGCCGCAGACCACGGCTGCCACCGGGCCGCCCTCCTCACCGACCGCCGGGCGCCCTGTCCACACCCCTTTCCCGGCGGGAACCCGGCTGGGGCTGGATGACCTGCCCTCGTGGCCGACGGGCGGGCGGGCAGAAGGACGGGCGAGTGGGGGAGACTCCAGGCAGCCGGGCGGCGGTTCGGGGCGGCGGTCCGGGGCAGGGCCGCGCTGCTCCTGGGGGGGGGTCCCGGCGCTGAGCCCACCCCCCCCCTCGCCCCCGTGACCCCGCCAGGCCTCATGGAGGTGCTGCCGCCGCGCTGTGTGCAGATCGCCAAGCGGGAGCTGCTGTTCACGGGCCCCGTGGGCCTCATCATGTACCTGGGCGGCGTCTTCTTCATCAACCGGCAGCGCTCCAGCACCGCCATGAGCGTCATGGCCGACGTGGGCGAGCTCATGCTGCGGGAGAACGTGAGTGGCCGGCGGCGGGCGGGAGGCGGGCGGCTCCGGGCGGGAGGCGGGGGGTCAGAGCTCACAGGCCGCCCCTGGGCGGGAAAACCACAGGCGGGGCTCAGGGCCTGGGCATCGACCTGTGAACCAAGAGGTTCCGTTCCCGGTCGGGGCACACACCCGGCTGTGGGCTCGATCCCCATGGGGGGCGTGCAGGAGGCAGCCGGTCTATGGTTCTCACATCATACATGTTTCTCTCTCCCTCTCCCTTCCTCTCTGACATCAATACAAATTTATTAAAAACAGCCCTAGCCAGTTTGACTCCGTGGATAGAGCGTCAGCCTGCGGACTGAGGGGTCCCGGGTTCGATTCCAGTCAAGGGCATGTACCCGGGCTGTGGGCTCGATCCCCAGTAGGGGGTGTGCAAGAGGCAGCTGATCTGTGGTTTTCTCTCATCGATGTTTCTGACTCTATCCCTCTCCCTTCCTCTCTGTAAAAAATCAATAAAATATATTAAATAAAAACAACAACAACGAAAAACCCCACGCCATCGGTGTCTGCAGACTGCACGCCGGAAGGCAGGGGGCAGGGCTGCGCTGTGAGGGGTCCCCATGAGGGAGGGCTCCCCAGGAGGGAGGGCACGGCCTCGCCCGCCCCCCACAGCCTCCTCCTCTCTCCCGCAGCTCAAAGTGTGGATCTACCCCGAGGGCACACGCAATGACAACGGGGACCTGCTGCCCTTTAAGAAGGGCGCCTTCTACCTGGCTGTGCAGGCCCAGGTGCGCGGGACGCCCCCCGGGAGCGGGGGCGGGGGTGTCGGTCTGGTTAGGCGGGGACCCTCTCCTGGGCGGGGCAGGGCCTCACCACCCTCCCCCCTGGGCCTGCCCCAGGAGGAGGGTCCTTCCGGGGCGGGGGTGTGTCCAGAGGGGTCCTGGCATCAGGTGGTGCCCTGGTGGGCAGGGCCTCCTGGTGGGGGGCCCAGCCCCCCCATGCTGGGGTTCGTGTAGGGAAACCCAAGGTGGGGGCGACAGCTGGTCTGTCTTCCACCGGTGACAGGTGGCCTCTAGCGCCCCCCAGTGCTGGCCCTGAGCAAAGCCACCCCCTGCCCTGCCAGCCCCCTCCCGCCGGCTAATGCCATGGGTGCAGACGCTGGCAGGTGGGTGAAGTCACTTCCCTTGGCTGGGGGCGTGGGGGAGGGGTGGTGGGGAGGGGGAGGGGTGCTGGGACAGGGGCAGCCACAGCCTGGGCCTCGGCGGCCAGGGGACGGGCATCGTTTCCTGTTGTCACCTCCACCTCCCTTCCGGGCTGCTAGACTGGCTCCCTGGGTTCCAGCCCGCCCCCCCCTCCCCCCTCCCGCCCAGAGCTCTGCCGTGGCCTTGCCCCGGAGAGGTAACCGCAGGGTTAATGATTAGCCCAGGCACCATTTCCTCCACTGCAGGCGCCAGTGCGCTGACCTGGTGCTATCCAGGGGCACCTGCCGGCCCTGCCCCGCCCCTGCCAGTGCCGCCCCCCTCCCGGGGCGGGGTGGGGGGAGGGAAGCGGGGAGGAAACCTCAGGACCCAGTGGGGGCACAGGTCTGAATCAGGTGGGCGTGTGCCAACCTAGGAAGGCTTCCTGGAGGCGGCGACTCGGGTGAGAGTTCAGAATGAGCTGATGGACTGTGTGTCCCAGGCAGGGCTGAGGCGGGACGGGGCACGTGCTGCGGCATGGGTTTCGGGGGCAATCCCCAGGCGAGGTGGCAAGGCAGGTGCCCCGGGGGCTCGCCCTGGGGAGGGGGGACCTGGCCCTTCTCAGGAGGCGTCTCCCCACAGGTGCCCGTGGTCCCCGTGGTGTACTCCAGCTTCTCCTCCTTCTACAACTCCCGGACGAAGCTCTTCACCTCAGGTAGCGCCTGGGCCCGCTGCCAGGCAGTGACCATGGGGGCGGGGGAGGGGAGGGGAGGGACAGGGGGATGGATGGGGAGGGAAGGGGAGGGAGAGATGGGGGAGGGACAGGGGGATGGATGGGGAGGGAAGGGGGAGGGAGGGATGGGGGAGGGACGGGGAGGGATGGGGAGGGACGGGGGAGGGACGGGACAGGGATGGGGTGGGAGGGCCGAGTCTGGGGTCTCGGCAGGGCTGAGGTGAGTGGTCCAGGGGAGGGTACGGAGGCTCCCGGCAGCTGGGTTGGGCCCAAGTTCACGCCCAGGCCCAGGCTGTGCCCACCGCTCGGGGCTCAGGGTGGGTGGCTCCGGGCAGAGGGGGCTTTGGAGCTGGGCCCACCCCAGGGCAGCAGCCTCCCAGGCACCACCCCCGCGCCATGGGGCTCAGAGCTGGGCTTCTACCCTCCCTGCTGCCTGCACCTGGTCCCCCAAGGGAAGGCTGGAGGGCAGCGGGGGGCGAGGGGGCAGAGGATGGCAGTGGGGGGGGGCCTGGGAGGGGCACGGGGACCCTCGGGGCAGGAGCTCTGGGTCGGGGTGCTGAGAGGGGGTACACTTGCCCATCCCCGGTGTGCGCTCAGGAGCCAGGGCGGCGGGTCAGTTATTGGAGCCGCAAACCAGCCACGAGGGGGTCGCTGGGCTGAGCGGCGGGGAGGGTCCGGCTAGTGCCGGGCCGGGGGGGCGGGGGGGGAGGCCGGGGCGGGGGGGAGGCCGGGGCTGGGAGCCGGGGCGGGTGGGGGGGGGGGGCGGGGAGCCGGGGTGGGGGTGGGGAGCCGGGGCCGGGGGGGGGGGGGGGCGGGGAGCCGTGGCGGGGGGGGCGGGGGTGGGGAGCGCTGGGGCGGCGGGGGCGCGGGACGTGACGCCAGCCCCCCGCAGGCACCATCCAGGTGGAGGTCCTGGACCCCATCCCCACCAGCGGCCTCACCGTGGACGACGTGCCGGCGCTCATAGACACCTGCCACCGCGCCATGCGCACCGCCTTCCTGCGCCTGTCCAAGCCCCCGCAGGAGAACGGGGCCCCGGAGCCGGCCGCCCAGTGACCGCCGCCGGGGGACCAGCGGCTCCGCTCTCCGGCTGCCAGCGCGGGCCTCCCCCCGCCTCCACCGCCGGTGTCCCTGCCGGGCCGGGCTCCCCAGCCCCGAGGCCGTGGGACTCCCCCCGCCTGCATCAGGCGGCCCGGGGCGCGAATACTGAATCCGAACGGCACATGGCTTTCCGTTGTGGTCAATCCTCCCCAGGATTTTCTTTCCATTGATTCTCCGAGAGCCGGAGGGGGGGGGGTGGCAGAGACACACGCCCCCCGACCCCACACGCCCCCCGATCCGGGCTGCGAGCTGAGCCTGGAACGGAGGTGCCCGCTCTTGACTGGGACCCGAACCTGGGGCTCCTCCGTCCAGGGGCCGGCGCGCTGACCATTGCACCACCAGCCGGGCGCACAGGGTTGTTTTTATAAATGGACTCTTGCAAGTGCCTGGTGAGGTGTGGTCACTCGGAGGGCGGGCGGGGCACAGGATGGCTCCGCCGGCGGCGCACGGGGTCTCCCAGGCTGGAGCCTTCCAGCCCCCACCCCCCGGGCTGGGCCCGCAGGTGAAGGGGGCATGGCGGGCATGGGGCAGGAGGCTGAAGGTTCCTGTCTGGCTACTGGCGAGGGGCAGGCACCTTGTCACCACCAGGAGGCAGCGTCTCTGGCCTGTGTCACTTTCCCAGAAGCCACTGCTCCAGCCCCTTTCAGAGAGGGACCAAGACTCCCCCTCCCCAGGTGGGCCCAGGGGGCTCCAGCCCCGTGGCCACACCCCTCCCTCCGGCCAGCAGGCGCCCGCCCCCCACAATCACACACAGACACGGCAGCTCTTCAAGTCTCTTTATTCTAACGAAGGTCAGGGGGTCCCCGCTGACACCCTGCGGCTCAGTGGGCCCGAGGCGGGCTGCTGGGTGCAGGGCTGAGTTCACCCAGGAGGACCCCTCAGCCCGCCCGGCCCCGCTCCTCCCGGGAGAGGTGGGGTGCAGAGCAGAGCTGGCGAGGAGGTGGGCCGTCACAGCTCCTTCTTGCAGGAACCTGGGGGGGGGACTGAGGTCAGAGGTCACTGCTCCCACCACTGCCAGGCCAGCCGATGGGCCCCCTCCCTTGGCCTGTGGGCCCGGACTGGCCCCGCTCAGGGCAGCTCCAGCTCCAGAGCTGGGGGTGGGGAGCCGATGGGGGTGGGGAGCAGACGGGGTGGGGAGCAGGACGGGGGGGGGGAGCGGAGGGCGGGGTGGGGAGCAGGTGGGGGGTGGGGAGCCGATGGGGGGTGGGGACGCAGGCGGGGTGGGGAGCCGATTGGGGGTGGGGAGCAAGGCGGGAGGCGGTGGTGGGAGCAGACCGTTGGTGGGGGAGCAGACCGGGTGGGGAGAGACAGGCGGGGGGGGGGGAGCAGGCGGGGGGGGGGAGCAGGACGGGGTGGGGGCAGACCGGGTGGGGAGCAGTCCCGGTGGGGAGCAGGCGGGGGGGGAGACGTGCGGGTGGGGAGCAGGCGGGGGGGGGGAGCAGGCGGGTGGGGAGCAGACCGCGGGTGGGGAGCAGACGGGGGGGGGGAGCAGGCGGGTGGGGGAGAACAGGGGGGGAGCAGCAGGGGGTGGGGAGCAGGCAGGGGGGGGGGCAGCAGCGGTGTGAGGGGGGGAGCCAGGCGGGGGGGGGAGCAGGCGGGTGGGTGGGGAGCAGGCGGGGGGGGGGGAGCAGGGGGTGGGGAGCGGTGGGGAGGGAGCAGGCGGGGTGGGGAAGAGCAGCGGGGGGGGAAGCAGCGGCGGGGGGGGAGCAGGCAGGGGGGAAGGGGGAGCAGGCGGGGGGGGAAGCAGACGGCGGGGGGCGGAGCCCAGGCGGGGGGGGACGGCAGGCGGGGGGGGGGAGCAGGCGGGGGGGGGGGGCAGGCGGCGGGGGGGGAGCAGGCGGGGGGGTGGGGAGCAAAAGTCGGGGTGGGGAGAAGTTGGGGCGGGGGTGGGGAGCAGGCGGGGTGGGGGAGCAGGAGGCGGGGGTGGGGAGCAGGGCGGGGGGGTGGGGAGCAGGCGGGGTGGGGAGAGCAGGCGGGGGGGTGGGAGCAGGCGGGGGGTGGGAGCAGGCGTGTGGTGGGGGGGGGGGAGCAGGCGGCGGGGTGTTGGGGAGCAGACGGGTGGGGAGAGGCAGGGGGGGGCTGGAGCCGGCGGGGTGGGGACGGCGGCAGGGGGGGGGAGCCGGCGGGTTGGTGGGATAAAAAGCAGGCGTGGGGGGTGGGGAGCAGGGTGGGTGTGGGAGCAGGCGGGGTGGGGAGCAGGCGGGGCGGGCTGGGGGAGAAGGCGGGGGGGGTGCGGGAGCAGGCGGGGTGGGGAGCAGGCCGGGGGTGGGGAGAGCAGGCGGGGTGGGGGTAGCAGGCGGGGGGGTGGGTGGGGAGCAGGGCGGGGTGGGAAGCAGGCGGGGGGGTGGGGAGCACGGGCGGGGGTGGGGAGCAGGCGGGGGGTGGGGAGCAGGCGGCGGGGTGGGGAGCAGACCGGGGTGGGGAGCAGGCGGGGGGGGGAGCAGGCGGGGGGGGGAGTAGGCAGAAGCGGGTGGGAGCAGTCGCGGGTGGTGGAGAGCAGGCGGGGGGGTGGGGAGCAGGGCGGGGTGGGGAGCAGGCGGGGTGGGGAGCAGGGCGGGGGTGGTGAGGGGATTTGGAGCAGGCGGGGGGGGGAGCAGGCGGGGTGGGGAAGGCAGACCGGGCGTGGGGAGCAGGACCGGGCGGGAGGCAGGCGGGGGGGGGGGGGAGCAGGCGGGGGTGGGGAGCAGGCGGGGGTGGGGAGCAGGCGGGGGTGGGGGAGCAGGCGGGGGGGAGCAGGGCGGGGGGAGCAGGGGGGGAGCAGGCGGGGGGGGAGCAGGGGGGGGAGCAGGCGGGGGGGTCCGGCACTCACAGGACCCCAGCTGCTCCTCCAGGAAGGAGACCTGCTCGCTCAGGGAGTCGATGCGGTCCAGCTGCTGGAAGGAGTGCACCAGGAAGCGGCCGGGGTCCCGCAGCCCCTGGTCCAGTGCCCGCGAGGCCAGGCTGTGCAAGGGGTCCAGCACCAGCTGCAGCTTCTGCGGGGCCCGGAGGCCAGGGCCGGGGCGGCCAGGGTCAGGGCGGGTGGCCTGGGCGGCCCCTCCCCGCTCTGGCCCACAGGCCGGAGGGAAACGGCTGTGCCCACCATCCCCATCGCAGCTCGAGCTGCAGGGCCCCGGGCGTCCACCAGAGGGAGCGACTGAGCCAGGAGAGCCAGAGGCCTGTGGGTGCAGCGGGGCCAGCCGGGCCCAGGCCCCTGAGGGCGGGAGCACCTTGGGGTGTCAGGCCGATGGCCCTGTGGGAAGGACACTGCTCCCCGGGGACAAAGGGGGTGAGCAGGGCCTGGGTTCAGGTTCTCTGTGGCCTGAAGGATGGGGCCGAGCTCTCAGCCCCTCCTATGGGGTCCCCGTCCTCTCCCGCTGCCCCACTCGGCATGGAGCCCAGGCCCAGGGGCCCCCTGGGCTGTCGGTATCGGGGGACCCTCCCCACTGACCACAACCGACAGACAAGGCGGCTGCCCCACCCCAGCCCCCCAGCCTCACCTGCTCCAGCACGTCCACCCGTGACCGCAGCCTCTGCACCTCCTCCTGCACCTCCCCGGAAGCTCCTGGGGAGACGCGGGGGCTGAGGCGGGCCCCTACCTGGGTGTGGGAGCCCCTCCCCTCCTCTGGGTTCCCACTGCCCCCCAGGGCCGCCTGGAGGTCTGGGGGTGGCCCTGGGCAGACGCAGCCCCACCCCGAGCGCCTGGGTGCAGGTCCCCCCGCGCCGAGGGGTGCCCCCGCGCCCACAGGTCCCATGAGTCCGTGACGCTCCGGTGCCGGGCTGCCGACGGCGCATTATTACTCACGGTACGAGTTTGAGTGTCACAGCGCGTACCAAAAGTAATAATGACCCGTCGCCAGCGGAGGGCGTCTCCTGGCGGCGCGGGGACGGGCGGTGGGCCTGCCTCCTCTCTGGCCGAGATGCCCCCCCCCGCACCCCTCCCCAGAGCCTGGAGACCCGCCACCAGCCCTCCCCCTGAGGATGAGCCCTCTGCCCCGTCCCGGACTGGCCTCGCCCAGGGCCGGCTGCCCCCGCCCCCCCCGCCCGGCCCCCCCAGCGCAGCAGCAGGGGGAAGGGGGACATGTGGGGGATTTACCTCCTGTGGGGCTCGGGGCCGCCCCGGGGGGCCCTCTCCTGGGCAGGCAGAGCGCCCTGTCCGCAGGGGGGCTGTGCCCCTCCCAGCGCTGGCACCAGTAGCTCCCGGCCGTGTTGACACACCGCTGGGCACAGCCGCCCCGCGCCGCGCTGCACTCATCCACGTCTGCGGGAAGGGGTCCAGCAGGGGCCCTGAGCCTGAGGTCTAGGGGTGGGGTCCAGGCAGGCCCGGCAGAGGCCACCCGAGGGCCCTCCCCGGGGGCACGGGCCTCACCTGTCTGACAGCTGCCTCCCTGCCACCCGGCCGGGCAGTGGCAGCGTCCCGGCTGGACACAGCGCCCTCCGTTCTGGCACGGCGGCTGGCATATCGCTGTGGGGGGGGCTGTCACTCAGGAGAGGCCCCGGGGCCGGGGGAGGGAGGGGCAGCCGGAAGGGGTGCCGTGCAGCAAGGAGGGGGGGCGGGGGGTTGGAGGGGACAGGAGGTGCTGAGCCTGGGCTGGGGCCGGGCGGGGCAGTGGCTGCCTACCTGCTCGGCAGGCCCCGGGGAGCCCGGGGGCCCGCGTCCAGCCGGGGCAGCAGACGTAGCGCGGCCAGGCGGGGGCCGGCCCGGCGCGACGGCGGTAGGCTGTCTTGTAGATGGTTCTGGTGAGTGAGGGGGGCGGGAAGGCAGCTCAGAGGGGCCCGCCCTCACGGGGTGGCCTCACCAGCTGCGGCTAGGGCTCCTGCCTTCCTGGGCTGAGCCTCCAGGAGCCACACCAGCCGTCTCCCCCGTGGACAGGCCGCCGCTGGGTCCCCGGAGCCGCTCCCCCGGACAGCGTGAGGGTCACGCACAGCCACGTCCCGCCCTGTGCGGGGCTGGGGGACTCAGGCGGCAGGAAGCCGCTGTGTCTGGCACAGGGCGGGCGCCCCTATTGCAGGGGGGATGGGGCCCTGAGCGGAGGGGGGCCGGGTCAGTGCAGAACCCGCTGGGCTCCCTGGTTTGCTGGGGTGCGCCCTGCCCCCGTCCCTGAGCGGGGCTGTGAGTACAGAGCCCGGCACCAGGCCCGGCCGGCAGCTGGGGGAGGACCGGGACTAGGCTCAGGGCCGGACTCGGGGACAGGCGTTTACGGCACATCTCCAACGCCGAGAACGGGGACGCGTGCCCCCGCCGGCCACGGGCACAGGGAGGCCTGTGGGGACAGATGCCCTCCAGGGGTGCCCACGGGAGTCCTGAGGGCAGGGGTGCCCGGGTGGAGGTGGGTGAACACCCCAACATGGAGGCGGCACACAGGTGGGGACCCTCTAGGAACGAGGGGGGAGATGAGCGAGGCCCACGGTCAGGCAGGCCCGCCCTCCTGCCGCCATGGCCGCCTCCCCTCGGGGTGCCCTGCCCTCCCCCGGGCCCGGCGCGCGGTGGGCGGCGGGCACTCACCGGTAGGTGCTGCAGGCGCGGTGCCCGCCGCAGGTGGTGAGGAAGGGCTGGTACACGGGCTGCAGGAAGGACTCGGTCACGGGGCCCCGAGGAACCCCGACGGCACACACCCGGCGGCTGGAAGGGGGGTGAGTCAGCGGGGGGCTCAGAGCCGGGGCCCCCCAGCCCTGGGACTCGGGCACCCGGCAGGGCTGCCAGGGAGGGCACTCACCCGGGCCTATACACCAGCTCCGAGCCGCCCGCCGCCAGCACCAGCGCCCACAGCAGCAGCACCCGGCAGCCCCCCATGGCCCGCGCCTGCAGGGCCTTCGGCCTTCTCCTCGGGGTGGCCTGCAGCACAAGGCAGCGCGCTGAGTCCCGGGCAGACTCCCGGCACCCAGGCTCCCGGGGACCGGCCCTCCCAAAGCCGCTCCCACACACAGCCCCCGGACCAGCGCCTCGCCGGGGCCGGGGGCACCCGGCCCTGCAGCCTCGGGGGGCTCAGCTTCCTTCCAGCACCTGCACCCCAATCTCAGCCCACTGATGGGGGTCAGTGGGCAGAGCTGGGCCCCAGCCCAGCGGGCCTGGCCTCCTGGCCTCAGCGTCTCCTGGGGGGGACCGGCCACGGGCAGCATGGGCGTCTGTCCCGGGGCGGGCACTGGCCATGCAGATGCTCGGGCCTCAGAGGGGGGAGGCGCTGCACTTGGGGGACTCCTACGCTGGGGGTACCAGTCCGGAGTACTGTGCAAACAGCCCCAGACAGCGCCCGGGGCCCAGGCCGGGGACTGAAGCAGCCCCCCATGCAGTGGGGGGATGGGGATGGGGGCAGGAGCCAGGGGTGGACTCCCGGGAATGTGAGAAGCCGCCCCGGAGTTAACGGTCTGCAGCTCGCGGGCCTGGAGGCGGGCTGCACAGGGGGGGCAGGGCTGCACTGTGCAGCCAGGGCCTGGGGAGCCGGGAGCTCCTTCCTGGCTCTGTGTTCCGGGACCCCCCACCCAGGCCCCAAGGGCCAGAGTCCCCCCTCCCTCCTCCTGCCCCTCTGCTGGCCTGGCCCTGCAGGCCCCCAGCAGGAAAGGCCCAGAAAGAAGCTGCTGTGCGTGTGCAAGTGTATGTGCGCGTTCGTGTGCATGCATGTGAGCGAGTGTGCGTGCATGTGTGTCTCTGTGTGCACGTGTGTATGCATGTGAGTGTGTGTGTGTGTGTGTGTGTGTGTGCGCGCGTGGAGTCAGTCAGGCGGACCCTTCTCGGGCTGTTTTCGCCCCTGGGGTCAGTCCCACAAAACGGTGACCACGTGAGCAGCTACAGTGCCCGCCCACCAGCGGCTGAGTGGGGTGGGGGGAGAGGGTTGCCCTGGTCGTCCGCGTGGCCACCCGGGCAGAAAGGCAGCGGGGAGGGGGTTCCCGGAGGTGCTGCAGGGCTGGAGGGGGGCTGGAGGGACCGCGCCGGGAGCAGGCCGGGGAGGCGGGGTGGCAGCGCAGGGCCGTGCCAGGGTTCGAGGGACTGAGCTCCCCTCCCGGACGGGCCGCCTCCCGCAGACAGCCGCCTGCGCTCGGCGGGGAGGAGGGCGGGTTAGGAGACGGACAGTCTTGCTGCCCGGGCCAGGGGAAGCGAGGAGAGCCGGGTCCGTGCTGGGCTGGCAGACCTCACTCCCCTTGGGCTGCAGCCCTGCCGGCACGATGGGGGTGGGGGAGCAAGCCTCCAGGTCCCCGAACAAGTGTCCTGCCCCCCAGTGTCAGCGTGAGCCTGCCCAGCGCTGCCCCCTCCCGCCGGGCCGCCCCCGGAGCCTGGGAGGGGAGGCCTGGCCCCGCGGGCAGAGGGTCCGGTCCCCGGGAGGCGGAGGGGCCAGGCGGACCCACGGGCATCGGACCCACCGGGCTGCGCCTCCGCCCCGTCCCGCACCTCCTGCCCCGGGCCGGCCTCGCGGCGGGAGGGGGGACAGCGGAGGGACGCCCCCCTGGGCTTCGGGGTGCGGCCCCCCCTCCCCGCGAGGCCGGCCCGGCGCCGTCACCAGCAGGGGGCGCCCTCCCCGCGGCCGCTGGGCCCATTCTGCGGACCCGGGCCGGACCGGACCGGACCGCGGTGTCAGCGCCCCCGCCGCCCCCTCCGCGCCCCCAGCGTCCTGCGCAGCCCCGGCCCCCGCTCCCGGGCCCCTCGCTCCCGGGGCCCCCGATCTCGGGCCCCCGCTCCCGGGGCCCCCGCTCCCGGGCCCCCCCGCTCCCGGGCCCCCGCTCCCGGGCCCCCCGCTCCCCGGCCCCCCGCTCCCGGGCCCCCCGCTCCCGGGCCCCCCCGCTCCCGGGCCCCCGCTCCCGGGCCCCCCGCTCCCCGGCCCCCCGCTCCCCGGCCCCCCGCTCCCGGGCCCCCCGCTCCCCGGCCCCCCGCTCCCGGGCCCCCCGCTCCCGGGCCCCCCGCTCCCGGGCCCCCCGCTCCCGGGCCCCCTCTCCCCGGCCCCGCTCCGCCGCACTCACCGCCCGTCCGGGCGCGCACGCGCCGCCGCCGCCGCCGCCAGCACCGCGCGAGGCCGCCCCGCCCCGGCCCCCGCCCCACCTGCGCCCCGCCCCGGCCCGGCCCGCCGCCCCGCGCAGACGGGGAAACTGAGGCCTCTCAGCGCAGCCGCCCCCGCCGGGCAGGGAGGCAGACGGGGAAACTGAGGCCTCTGAGCTGCGGACACGCGGGCCGAGCCGCTGGGCGGGCACCTGGAGCCGCGCGGGGGCCACGCCGGCCACCGCCCCCCCCAGGCCCAGCGCCCGCGCTGACATGACCCCCAAGGCCCAGACCCCTTATTCCGGCGAGGTCCCGCCGGGTCCGCGGTGACACGGAGCTCCGGCCCCTGCAGGGTGCAGAGCCAGCACCTCTTTGTTCAGGACACCGGCCGCCTCTGAGCTCCCCCAAACCCCACCGAACCCCACGCCTCCGCTGGGGACTGGGGTGAGGGCGGTCCCCTCTCCTTGGCTCCATTTCCCGTTGGCCAGCGTGGCCAGGAGCGGGCGCCCACGGGGGGACAGGCCACTCAGCTGGCACCAGGCAGGGCGCCTCCCTGGGGACTGGGGTGGCCCTGGGCCTGCCCCTCCGCGATTTCCGTCCTCAGGCTCTGCCCCCCCTCCGGCCCCCCTGCCCTGACCCCTGAGCTGCAGCGCCCAGAGCCCAGGCTCCTGTGCGACTCACCTGGAGAGGGGAGCTCCGTCATACCCCGGTCGCTGGTGGCGGCTGCTGTCCCGCGTGTCGGGGGCCACCCAGGCCGCCCCTGTCCCGGGGCCTGCAGGGCAGACAGTGTGGGTGAGCAGGGGTCAGGGGCACAGGAATCAGGGCAGAAGCCACTGTGGGACCTCCGGCCCCCACTTCCAGACCCGCCAGTCAGTCCGGTGAACAGCGACCCAGAGGCCCTGGGCTCGGGACGGAAGCACAGCCCTGGGGGTGGGGGGGTGCACCCTGGGCAGCGGGGCGGAGGGACAGCTGCTGGGGGCCCTACCCTGGGCCTCTGGTCTCCTCGCCCCAAATCCAATCAGGGTGCCCTGGCCGGCCACAGGCAGGAAGGGGTTAAGGCTAGCCCGAGGTGGCCCTGCCCCTGCCCCCAAGCTGCTGCGGGTCACCTGACCCTTTGACCTCCTGCCTGAGCAGCTGGGTCAGCGTGTCCTCTCTCTCCCGCTTCCCCATCTGGAACAGGGGCGGCCGGCCAGGCAGGCCGCTGGGGGGACGCCGGCTGCCGGCGGCCAGGGCCCGGCTCAGGGCTTCGGGTGGGACTTGCGACGCTCTGGGTGGGCAGAGAGGGGAACCCAGGGCCTTCCTAGGGTCCAAGGTGGGCAGACAGAGTGCCCACACCCCACAGCACCAGGCCGTCCCCTCTGCCTAGGAACCCCGAGGCCAGGCCAGCGGGCTCCGTGCCCCCCGCCCCCCGTGCACACCTCACCCGGCTGCAGTTTGGCTTTGGGGTTCCCGTCCTCCCCCCGGGAGTGCTCGCCCACCCCTGGGGTCTGAGAGGGCGAGGTGAGCGGGGCTCTCCAGAGGCACCTGCTCCTCCGGGGCCGGCATGTCCCCTGTGCCATGGGGCCGGCACAGCAGGAGGACGAGGAGGTGGCACCGGAGAGCGGAGTCGGGCGCAGCGAGCTCAGCCGCAGGTGCGGAGCCCGGGGCCTCGGGGTGCTCACCCCGCTGCCTGCTCCCTGCTCCTCGGGGCCGCTCCCGCCATACCTGATGCCACCCGGGCCCCCGCTGGGCCACGGCTGCCGCTGCGGGCCCCGGCCGGACCCCTGCCGGTGCCGGCCGCCCCGCGGCACCTGCCGAGGCCGCCCGGCCCGCCGGCCGCCGCTGCCCTCCGCCGCCCTCCGGCCGCGCATGCTGGACGGTGCTGGGCCGAGAGCCTCCGGGCGGGAAGGGCGGCTTTTTATGGCCGCTCCCCAGTCAGCCGGGATTGGGATGGGCCCTTCCCGGCCGGACTTCCTGTGTGTGTTCCCCGCTGATAAGGGTCTGTCGGCACAAACAGGAGGCCGGGCGGTGGGGGGCCACGGGGGAGGGGCCTGGCCCGGCTCCGGGTTTCGGGGGGTGGGGGAGGCGGGCCGGTCCCCCGGGGCTTCGAGTCTTGCCCCGAAGCAGCCAGAGACCAGGTCCTGGGCACCCTCAGCCGGCGGTGACCCTGGGCCAGCTGGCCCCACCTGGAGGGAGGACGTGGCTGGCCGGGCCTTCTCAGAGCCAGGGTCCCCCAGACTCCACAGGAGGGGCCGTGGCTCTGTGACTGTGGAGCCCCCAGGGCACACAGCAGCCCCCTGATATGTGTGGGAGCTGGGGTGTGGGGAGTCAGAGGGAGAGGCCTGGGGGTGCCCCGGAGGCTGGGGGTCTGAGAACAGAGTGGCCGTGCAGGCAGGGCCTCCCCCTAGGAGCTGGCCTGTCTCCCCAGAGAGGGAACCCCTGGAGTGCCAGCCCCCTGCTCCTGTGGGGGTGCTCGCAGCCTCCTGGCCCCCTGCCCCGGCCTCCAGCAGGCCGAGGGGTGCAGGGCGGGGAGTGGGGGAGGCAGTGCTCCCTCAGAGAGGGCCCCCGGCCTGGGCCAGGCTCCTCATGGGGGACCCCGGGCGGCAGGCTGAGCAGCGGGGACCGCGTGCTGGGTCCCAGGTGACCAGGGCGTGGGCGGCTGCGGGGACCTGCCGGGCCTCACAGGGGACCGAGGGCCTCGGGGGATGTGGCCACGCGGATGCAGGGCGGCCTCGGACGGGAGCTCTGTGCCGGCCCAGCCTTGACCTCCGCTGGCCGGCCCCCCTCCCCCCATGTCCTGGCCCAGTGGGGCGGGGGCGGTTTGGGAAATTCCCGCTGGAACGCCGAGGGCAGGGGGTCTCACCGCCTGCAGGGACCTGCCCTGCCCCCGGGCCGGAAGGTGGACGTGGTGGCAGGCCTCGGGGCCTCGGTTTCCCCATCTGTACCGTGTGGACGAGAGGAGCCGGCCCCCGGGGCTGTGGGATCCTGGTCCCTGGGACTCGGCTGCGGTTGGTCTGAGGGGCGCGGGGCCTGGGGCCTCCGTGCTGAGGTGCCCCCGCCCGGAGCTGGAGCCTCAGGCACCCACTCTCTCCCCTCCAGCCGCAGTGCCGCACTCTGCCCACCGTTCGGCTCGCCCGGGCCCCTGTGCTCTCCCCCTCGAGGGCCCTTTGCCCAGGGGCTGGGTGTCCTGAGAGGGCTTTGCCCCCTCCCAGGAGGTGCCCACCCCACTCAGCCTCCGGCCCCCTGGTAGAGGATCCGGTAGACACCAGGCCTCTGTGTGCAGACGGGGAAACTGAGGCCCGGCGAGCGGGGGAGCGGGAGGGGGCCGGGGCGGGAGCAGCCCTTCCCTCCACCTTTCCCGCGGCCCAAGGGCCTCCTGTGCCCCCACAGACATGGCCCCGCCAGGGACGGCCGGAGACTCGGGGCAGCAAGCTTGCCAGACATGTGGGCAGGGTAAGGGGCCGCCCCTCCCTCGAAAGCAGGGGCATGTTGGGGAACTTTCTGGAAAGACGCCCAGCTTGCGGAGTGAAGCCAGGTGCGGGGAGGGAGGAGGCAGGGTCCTGGGTGCTGTGGGGTCAGTCTCAGTGCGGCTCCTGGGTGCCAGCCCCGCCCGCTGCCCCGGGAGTCCCTCCTGACCCAGCCCCTCCAGGACCGAGACCAGAACCAACCTGAGGAAGGGCCTTGGCCCAGCCCCGCTTCTGCCTCCCCCCGCCCCCCCCCAGCCTCCTCCTGCCCCGCTGCCTAAGGCCCACCTGGGCCCACTCTCAGGGCCGGAGCCTCAGGGCACCGTGAGGAGGCGGCTGGGCCTCTGGCAGGGGCCGGGCAGGGGCGCCGGGCGGGTGAGATCAGGGCGGGCAGAGGGGCGCTGTCTGGCATCCAGAAGCAGCAGGGAAGGGCACTGTGCGCTGGGCTCACCCTGAGCTCTGGGCTGGGGGGGCTCATCCTGGGCAGGCCAGCCCCCCTTACTCCCCCCCCCCGCCCTCTGCGCCTCCGATGGCCTGGAGCAACCCCGTGCCCGCAGGGAGCCCGTCCCCCTTACTCCCCCCCCCCCGCCTCCGATGGCCTGGAGCACCCCCCTGCCCGCAGGGAGTCCGTCCAGGTCCGGAGGCCTCAGCCTGGCCCGTCTGCAGGCCCCACACAGCAGTGGCTGCCAGGGGATGGGTCAGTGGCCTCAGGGCCAGGCTGTCCACCTGGTGGCGGAGAGCTGGCCTGGAGCCGGCCAGCTTCGGGGGCCCCGGGGGGCGGGGGCTCAGCACACGGGCTGTCGAGGCCCCGAGACAGGAGGGGGTCCCGCTGCTTACCTTCCCCCCGCGCTGCTCCGGGGGGAGGGGGCGTGGCAGGGTCAGCAGGGCCTTCGGGGCTCCCTGGGACCCTCCTGGGCCCCCGTGCCGCCCGGCATTCGGCCTCCGCTGCCCCAGGAAAGGATGCACCGAGCCCGGCAGAGGCCGGCACACCCGTGTGAGCCGCCGGAGGAAAGAGGGAGCGCGAAGCAGGAGAGGAGCTTCCTGTTGTCTGCCCCATGCTGGGCGCCGGGTGCAGGGACAGGACGGCCGCCCAGCCTCCCTCCAGGTGCCGGCCCTGAGGGCGGCCCGGCCCTGGGCTGCGGCACCTGAGCGGCCGGGCCCCTAGGGAGCGGGTCGGGTAGAGAGCCCGGGCCTGTCCTGGCTGCCTGGGCCCACCCCCCTATGCCCGCCTGGCACACCCGTCAGAAGTGCCCTGTGCCGGTGCCCCCCTCAGCACTCACGGACACCAGGGCTGAGAATCACCCCAGACCCGCGCTCACAGGGGGACGCCCAGGTGGTCAGCGGGCATGGGAGTCCTGCAGCTCCCCTCCCGGCCTCCCTGCCTGGGGCCACCACGGAGGCCCAGGCTGTGCCTTCTGCCCGCCCTGGTTCCCAGCGGGTCCCCACGGGGCCGCCTCCATACACGGCCCTCCGGCCACGGCCAGCGGCCCCAGGCCCGCACCCTCCCGCCGGGATGGGGTCCTCCTCGGCTTGGGGGGCCCCGGCTGCCACCCAGGTCAGGGAGCCTGTGGAGGTGACCTCCCCGCTGTGGTTTCCCCGGGACCACGTCTGGCGCCTCGCCTGGTGCCCCAGCTCCGTCCCGCGGACGGGGAGGGGCGCGTCTCGCTCACAGCTGCCTGCCCGCGGCGGGACCACGCCACCCCCTGGCCGGTGCGCACGGGGCAGGGGAGCCCTGCGGGTGCCCCCCCCAGGCAGGTGCCCCCCCAGGCGGGCTGCACATGGGCAGGGGGAGCCCTGCGGGTGCCCCCCAGGCGAGCTGCACATGGGCAGGGGAGCCCTGCGGGTGCCCCCCAGGCGGGCTGCACGGGGCAGGGGGAGCCCTGCGGGTGCCCCCCAGGCAGGCTGCACATGGGCAGGGGAGCCCTGCGGGTGCCCCCCAGGCGGGTGCCCCCCAGGCGGGCTGCACATGGGCAGGGGAGCCCTGCGGGTGCCTCCCAGGCGGGCTGCACATGGGCAGGGGAGCCCTGCGGGTGCCCCCCAGGCGGGCTGCACATGGGCAGGGGAGCCCTGCGGGTGCCCCCCCCACCCAGGCGGGCTGCACATGGGCAGGGGAGCCCTGCGGGTGCCCCCCCCACCCAGGCGGGCTGCAGGGACATGAGCCCCAGGAGAGGCGTGGAGCTGTGTGCCCAGCAGCTGGCCAGGCTGCCCCCGGCCGTGGGGGCAACCCCACCGCCCGCTCCCCCCACCCCTGCTCCTGTCGGTCTCATCGGTTAGCCACTCCGACGACTCTGCAGCGGCGGCGGCTGCGTTGTTATTATTCTGTGTTTTTTGAACCACAGGTTCCCTCCTGGGACACAGGCTCCATGGAGGCCCCGCATGGGGTGAGCGTGGGCTGGGGCCTCGGGGAGCAGGGCAGCCGCCGGGCGGGCCCGGCTTCGCTGGCTGAGCCGTGTGCGCTGCGGGCACTGAGCTGGGGTGGGCAGGGGCCACGCGGACGTGGGCAGCCTCCGTCCGTCTCGGGCCACTCGAATGACCGGCTTCAGAGCTGCCCGCTCTGTCTGCTCACACGTGTCGTTAGCGGCCCAAGGCCTCGGCAGGGCCGGACCGAACGGCTTCTTGGCCTCCCTCGGCCCCGCGGCCGGACATTCCCACCCCGGGCCCAGGGCCCCCGCGAGTCCGGGGGTGCAGAGAAGAGAGGCCGCCTGCGCCGAAACCGGTGTGGCTCAGTGGTAGAGCGTCGGTCTGCGGACTGAAAGGTCCCAGGTTCGATTCCAGTCAAGGGCATGTACCTTAGTTGTGGGCACATCCCCAGTGGGGGGCGTACAGGAGGCAGCTGGTCGATGTTTCTCTCTCATCGATGTTTCTAACTATCTCTCTCCCTTCCTCTCTGTAAAAAATCAATAAAATATATTTAAAAGAAAAAAAGAAAAGAGGCTGCCTGCTGGGCTGAGCCCAGGGCCTGGCTCTGACGTCTGCGGGGGGTGCCAGTGTGTCCCCGCCTCCCAGGAGGCCCCTGAATGCCTGTCCCCAATGCTGCCGGCCAGGCCGGGGTCCGAGTGCTGACCGCGATTGTGCGGCGGGCATCTGCGGGCCGCCCAGCCCCCAGGAGCCTGGCTCAGCGGGGAGGGCCCCACATGAGGCCGAGACCCACGGGTGCTGTGGCCAGACCTCGAGGGTCACCAGCTCCCCTCCCCCTCCCCGGCTGGTCCCAGGGCCCGGCTCGCCCCCCTCGGGCTGTGCCGGCCCCCCGCACGGAAGCCGCCCCGCGCAGCTGCAGTCTGT